CGCACCGGCCATATTTGTTCATTCGGAGTGCCCAATAAATCAATTGTAAGTTCCAACTGGTGAATTTCGGTTTTTCCAGGCAGCAGTGGTTTGTGCAGAAGAAGTTCTCCCATTATACAACCGGCTGACCTATGATTTTTATGAGTACAAAGAGTGATAGGAACATTCGAAAACGTAAAACGCTAGAATTATTCTAAAAACATTCACTCAGTCATCGGATGTACACGATAAATTAGCCGTGTGGATGTAGGGGAGGGAGACACCCGAATTCGAGGCTGGGCGGGGGAGGGGGCGGGGGGAATGACTGTAAAAATTTAGTCCGTTACTTTTAAACAGCCCTAATTGCACATGTTTATTGACAGGACACGAGAAAGTCAAAGCCCAAACTTCACCAGATGGGGAGTGAGGAACCAAATATTCGATTAATGTCATACTGAGGGCTACCATGACAGGGCCAGAAATAAAATAAACTGCTCGTAAGCAGCCCTCTTTTGGGGAAACCCGCACTTAGCAATGCTGTAATAGTTTACTGTAATGTAGTAGCAGAAGTAGTGTAGTATTGCATTACATTTGTATGAGTGGAATAATCGACGTTCGTCTGTATGATTCCTGTTTGCCTGGTTGCGTTTTGCTGTCAGCTGTAATCTCTCTTGTAAGGTTAGATGAAACCTCTGAAAGAAGCGCTAGCCTGCAGCAGTCGGTGCATGCATTAGACAAGAAACGTGAATGTAAACGAAGAACCTCAAGATAACAGTGAAGTTAAAAAAAGTCTTAGACAGCAGATCAATATCGTGCAGTAACCATGAAATAACTACTGATGCAGACCCAGAACAACCAAGGTATTTTCCACATAAGTGGGTACTTGCAAACGAACATTTGAAAAGATGCTCACATGTTTTACAAAATCCCTCCTTTTGTAGAAAGAATTTTTTTGCGGTCGCACCTGCATACAGGTTGAACTCTGATGTTACGCAAATATAACCAAAATTAGGGGTAGCCCAAAAACTAAGCATTTTTTTATTAGACTTTTCTGAAAGTCTGTAATTATATGATCGTTACGTCAAGTCAACGAAATAAACGCAGCGAAGTGTTAATGATTCATGCTCTAAAATTTGGAGTTTTCGTAAAGTTGAGAAGTTTATATGCTACTCGTTTTGAATACCCGACGACGACATGTGTGCAACTGCGGAGAAATAAATAAACAAGGTTATACCGTAGGCGGCAAAACACTTTATGAGTGATAATGGATTAGTAAATAGCAGACTTTTTTGCAATCAAAGGATACAAATAAAATCTCCTAAAAGTAATCGACTACCCGATAGCAAACCGTGATTCGTCTTTGGAAAAAGATAAGATGTCTATAAAATTAGGCTGATAAAAGATTTAATTCGGATATAGATAAGGAAAACAGAACTGTCCGTCCGACCAGGAAAGCATGTCATCTTTACTAATCAAACTCGCAATTTAGTCATAGATTTATGCATCCATTGCGTGGTTGGTGACTAGGATGGGGGACCAAGCCAGGGGCTGAGAATGAAAATTGTATGTACTCATAGCGCCACGGGGCGACCAAAGAAATTGTTGAAGGAATTTTGAAAATACGCCAGTACAGAATTTCAAAGCTAAAAGTGTAATTACCAGCAGAAACTAAACTGCACTTTTGCAAACATAGGCCAGTGGCCTGAAGAAATAAGCCAAGC